GTGATTCAAGTACAAACTCAAACATAGATTCTAACTAGACAACCCAAGGGCATTAGAGCTATCGATTATGGTTTTATAAATTTAGTCCTTCTTTGGTATTATGTTTGACAACAAAGTTTAAACTAATTTTCTCCAAAGTTGACACCTTTTTAAAAAATAATAAAAATAAATAAATAAAAATCCAATTATATACCGAATGTGCAAAAAAAAATAAAAATAAACACACACCCTAGTGTTAAAAAAAAAAAAAACCTACATTTTTCAAATTAAGCAAATAAGGACATTTTCTCAATTTGAAGATTGGAAAATAAAAAATGCCCTTAAAGCAATATAAAAAAACCACTTGTATGCACAATTTTTATTAAAGGTTTTTTTTTTTTTTTTTTTTCCCTAATTGGTACTCACACACACATGCCTCCATACTGAGACTTGAACCTCTGACCTACCTTTGGGAGGTAAGGGTCTCATACTGCTAAGTCATTAGCCTGTTGGTTATTAAGGGCATTTTAGGATGCTTATAAAATAAAATTAGTCATAATTGACGAACATGGGTCAATTTGCTACAAATATTCAAATTACAAGAATTTATATTTACATACTAAATAGTAAGGGTGTTTCTAGCACATTTTTTATATAGCTGATTTTTTTGGCACTTTAAAAAATATATATATATATATTTTTGAAGGAAATAAGTGTTAAATGTTATATTAGTAGATGTAGAGGGTCGAAACCTGGCACTCCAAAGTCCACGTAAGACACTAATTCACTGGATAACTGCAAAAATAAAAATAAAATAAAGTATATAAAAGTGGAGTTTTTGTTTTGTTTCCCAAAAGGAAACATAACATCCGTATAAATTACTCTTTAAAGGCCTGTTTGGTAATAGAGAACGTTTTGCATTTTTTTTTATTCCCAAAATAGAAACAATGTTTTTGTTGTAAAGTGTTTTGAATAGTAATCGAAAGCATATTTGGTAACGTCTATTTGTTGCAAGATTTTTTGAAGCAAAAAGATGAAAGCATGTTTTGAAAAATAAGTGTTGCAAGTTTGAAATACATAATGACTAGTTTTAAAAGGCAATTTCAAAGTTTTTCAAATTGGATGTTTCGACTTTGGACCACTATTTACCAAGCATTTCGCATTGTACAAAATAAAACATTATTTACCGAACACATTGCGGCCAAAAAATTGCCACCATAACCGGCCCATAACAAAACATAGAAACAAAAACGTCAACCAAACAGGCACTAAAGAAATAACAATTTATTTTTACTTCCAATCCTTTCTTCTTCTTTTTTTAATTTTTATTTTTGGCCTTTGGTGCAAGTTTTAACTAAAAGCCTGCTCAAGCTATTTGGCAATCATTTTTGTTCCGTTCTTTTGTGCGGGTGGTGTACTGTTGCGGAACAAAATACTGAAACACGTCTGGCAACTTTTGTTGCAATTTGAATAGTATAGTGTTTGTTGCTGAAAAGAGTCCCAAATTATAAACACCAAATTCCTAATATTTTCCCACTGCAGTAAAAACACTATAGTGGTGAAAATAAAAATAAAAAATCTAGTTGGCCTTTTTTAAGCAGCCATTTTCTTTCTCAATATTGCAAAAGTTTTATACCATACATGTTTTTACTTCAAAAAATTTTGCAACAAATTTTAAATTACCAAATATGCTTCTAATCACTATTAAACACACTCTATAACAAAAACGTTGCTAAAAACATAAACAATTAAATAAATGGTTACTAAACAGGTATTCGTGAATCCATCAGACGACAGTATATGAATTAGAATAATTTGAATCCATTAACGTGTTTGTTGTTCAGTGGGAGCAATATAGTACTGGTATTTTTTTTTTTTTTTTTTTTACCTAACAATGATTAGAGATTTAGGAGTTAATGGAAGGGTTAGGGGGAAGGGAATTCGAACTTAGGAGTATATGATGGGGCACTTAAGGTCTGATCCTTTATCACTCGGGCAACACCACCACGCCTAATGACCTCGAACTTTCCACGAACCAGTATTGAGTGACATTTCATCATAAATAAGAAATGTTTTGACATTTTAATGATTTTGCATTATCCTTTCAGAAGTAAGAAAAAATGAGAGTTTTCAAAATAGTTCTTGTGAACTCAGAACTTCGAGGTTGAGAGTTCGAATCCCCTTCAGGCCACTCTAGAGAATTTTTCTAATAATTGCTTAGTACATGTGAGACGGAGGGAATACACGTGCCTTATGATGAATTATAGTGTGCTCTAAGAGAGCCCCGCACCACCATCATTGGGAAAAAAAATAAAAAATATTTTTAGAGAACCATTTTCTAACAACAAACATTTTTTTAGCCTGAGTTTTTTGAAAAAGTAGTTTTCTAAAAACCGTCAGTCAAATACATTGGGTTTAACTAAACACATGATTAATCTAACTTGAAAGAGTTTAATGTCACGATCCGATTCCTAACGACGCCATGAGCATAGAAGATACGCATGCTGGTTGGCTAAGAACATTGATTGACTGGGAATGGTTCCAGGGAAGGGGCATGCAGGACCACAGGATGGTACCTCTTCAGAGTTCAGGCAGGTCGACTCGGTTCAGTTCGAGGTGCTTGTCGCTAGTCTTGGACTTGACTATGAAGAAGGGAGTTGGCCATCCCTGCACAAACTGGTCCGGAGTTGGAGCCGTTCCCCTGACGAGGCCATGGCAGGCCGAAACCAGTCAGCATGTATCCTTGGGAGGGCAGGTCGTGGTGGCTGAACAGGGCGCTTGCGCGAGCTGAAGCAACGCCTTGGTGCTGCACGGGCCGTGCCGCTGCGCCAAATCTCTAGGCCTGTGACAAATGGTATCAGAGCAGGACTTGGGGAAAAGCACAGAGGTGTGCCCTCTTGTCGATCCGGGGGTCTTGAGAATGAAGAGGGTGCACTGAAAAAGCGTCGGTGGGTAATCAATGCTGTTGGAGGAGAGCCTCCATCTCCCCATGAAGATGCGTCCTTTAAGCCGGAGGGCCGCGCGTATCGGATGGCCGGAGGGCCGCGCGCACCAAAGTTCTTGCAAGTTCAAGAGACGTGCAAACCGTTGTGAAGGGCGGGTATCAAGTCAGTCGGAGGGCGCTTGTTTGCTCGGGGTGTCGCGGAGGCGGCATAACGTGGGGTTGCGTCCCGAAGAAGTGGGCGTCCCTTTAGCCCGAAACCCTATCATTGGGCGAATGCAGCCAGGGGTTGTACAAGGAAGCGATGGTGGGCAGGCGAGCATACCACTTGGAGGAGACAGGCTTTGGAATGTTGGACGCAGCGGAGTCAGCGCCGCACTGCGACGAGGGCGTCGCAGGATTTGGGTGGGGGAGAATGTCACGATCCGATTCCTAACGACGCCATGAGCATAGAAGATACGCATGCTGGTTGGCTAAGAACATTCATTGACTGGGAATGGTTCCAGGGAAGGGGCGTGCAGGACCACAGGATGGTACCTCTTCAGAGTTCAGGCAGGTCGACTCGGTTCAGTTCGAGGTGCTTGTCGCTAGTCTTGGACTTGACTATGAAGAAGGGAGTTGGCCATCCCTGCACAAACTGGTCGGGAGCTGGAGCCGTTCCCCTGACGAGGCCATGGCAGGCCGAAACCAGTCAGCATGTATCCTTGGGAGGGCAGGTCGTGGTGGTTGACCAGGGCGCTTGCCCGAGCTGAAGCAACGCCTTGGTGCCGCACGGGCCGTGCCGCTGCGCCAAATCTCTAGGCCCGTGACATTAAGCTATTCTCATAATTTATAAATAAAAATATAAAAATAAAAAGGAAAGTTAGGACGAAGCATACCTAGGGCATGGGTTGACACGTCGTCGCCAAATTTGTAATTAGTTTATCATATGATCCCTGGGTTGACAACTTGCTGCGCAAGACTAGCAACCAACCGATCCTAAATATAAGATTAAAATGTTCAAGAAAGGGCGGTATTATTCTATAGATCATAGATAGTCAACAGATTCAGATTATTTTCATTTTATTTTTTATTTTTCTGGGTATTATTTTGGGTGATTTGGCTTATTGTTTATTGGTTTATATGTATTATTCTGAAGCAAGAGAGACCAGAGAGTGTAGAAGAACCTAATCACAGAACCTTCCAACCCTTAATCATGGGAGTGCTGAGCAAGACTTAGCATGTTGACTCTGCTCTTAACACCTATAAATATGCTTCTTGCATGTGCACTTCTGCATTGCATTGATTCAAGTGAAAGTTGAACTGGTTGGCAGAAAGAGAAGCCACACACACACAGACGAACACACACACACACACAGATGGAAATGAGGAGTGTGAGTGTCAAATCCTTGTTGGGAGGGTTTAAAACACTAGACATACAAAGAGTAAGGAGGACCAGCAGGTTCTTGTGTGTATGCCCTCTTGGGGATTATTGCAAGTGTTACTTTGAATGGGCGTCTAAATCATTTGGAGAGATAAATGAGAAGCCACTTTGAGATCAATTTTGGTGAGTTAGGTTTTCTTTCTTGCATGCATATACAAAAATAATAATAATTATAGCTCTCTCTCTCTCCCCCCATTATCTTTTCGTCTAACAAATTCTCATAGTTAACCCATTTAATATCATGCCTCACCTTGGACATTTCATAGGAATGGTCAGTTAATATTGTTATTGTTCTCCTAACTATATTGACATTTTAAAATCTGAATGTGCAGTTCAATCTACAAGAAGAAATATTCAAGATGGTTTCATCACTTTGGCAATCAAATTCCTCAATTTCTGCATTGCAAAAAGTTTACAATTCAGACACTCGTCGCCACTGCAACCCGTACCTGCTAATACATCCATGCTCTTTTGGGTGGCATTGACTACATCAATCTCTTCTTTGTATTATTGATTTTCCATTGTTCAATCCCTCCTTGTAAACTCATTCAGAAAACTTCATTCAATTGCTTTGAGCGGTGTCTCAGGGGATTAGTCAGGGCAAAGTCCCGGATACCCCGGTTATTGGAAAAAAAAAGAGAGTATCCAGTATACATCTACAAAACAAAGCTTGGGGAACATTTTCAATAGCTTGACGCTTATACCATTGGCTTCACAATTTCTGTTTTCTGCAACATTTTAGGACCTTTTGTAGAAATATGAAACTATTATAATACAATCCTTAACAAGTGTGAGTGTAAGAAGATCCTCCAATGTCTTGAACAGAGAAAAAAAAACCTCTTCCGATAAAATATATGGTACACCAAACCGTATGAAAAGTAAATTAGAGAATAAGAAGCCTAACCATTTGAAAGAACAAAGGATCAATGTGATTCACCATCGACCCACTTGAGTGAAGGCAGTAACTTGAACAAAAATGACTTGAACTTTTCATCAGAGATGGCATTCCCAGCAATAGCTAATTGAGACAACTTTGAACTTTTAAAAATGAAAAAAGCTTCCCAGTAATTTGGCATCTTGGCAGCGCTGATCACAAATTCGTCAGAATTCCAATCACTACCTGCTGTATGCGACAGGGGAGATGAGCACAAATATCTTCTTGTGTCAACAGAGTGAGCACCAATCTCGTTGTGTGAAATATCCAGCACTTTTAATGACGTGAGCAGTCTCAAAGGCTCCAGAGCAGTAAAACTACCTAGTTTATTGTTACTTAGATTCAACCAAGAAAGAAGCTGCATAGCCTCCAATCCTGTCACAAAAGCCCAATTTAGTTTCTTTCATTTTAATATTGGATTATTAGAAATGCCTTAAAAAATGTAATGACACCGAAAGACAAAAATCCTACAGAATTCTAATGCATGTCTTCGTTGACTGGACTATTTTAAGTTCAAATATATGTTCGAGTCATTGAGGCACAAATAAGGTCCATATAGACTAGAGAGAACCCAACAGAAAAAGGAGCTCATAAACTAAGATCAGAGAGAACTTAGTTTAAATTACATGTTAATTAAGTATGTACTAATGCAAGTAGTTTTACCTTCAATCGAATGAAGTTGGTTGTGACTGAGGTCTAGCATTTGGACCCACAATAACTTCTCAATAGACCCGATTCGTGATAACGATAAATTACTCAACCGGAGACAGATATTATTATCGATGGTTGAAGAAGTTGATTCTTTATAATGACAGCAGTGTCTCAGCAAAGACCCCCTACTGGATGTCACCTGCAAAATCACAAAAACGTGAGACTCTGAGACTTCCAAAGAAATTTAGTATCTATTTCAAGATTTAAAACAAAATTTCTGCGCGAAATCATGTCATCACAGTTGAGATCATCCAATAGCAATTATGGGAAGAGCACACCACAAATGTGAAGCCATAAGCTAAATAAACTTTATTATATCTGGGTGCAATGACATGGTGGTCCTTACTGAAGATCCATAATTAAGAAATTGACAAAATGCCAGTGAACAAATACCCAGCAGAAACAATACTAACAAGTAAACAATGTGAATTTTACTTTAAATCCGGTTAACATAAAAAGAAAGGTATCATATAATGTTAGTAGGACTGCAATAGGAGAAGAGCGAAGCAAAACAGGCCAGCTCAAGCCACTCTTATGAGATATTTTTTTTCTTTTTCCAAGCCGAGCCCAGGCAGCCCTCTAAGCGGCACAATTAGCTTGTGACTGGAGGTATGTGGGCCCCATGAGCCATGTAGAAATTATTACACGTCGCATCTCATCCTCCTTGACATGTATGCACTTAGCTTGGCCCCTGCAGTCAACCTCCAAGTCCACCGCAACAGCAACCAACATTAACTCAAAATCAGCGACTTGAGGATCTCCTCGACTCCATTAAAACAATCAAGTGTCCCGACATTTGCCTGCATTTGGGGGCATTACTCAAAAGAGCTCCTTTACCTCGGTAAGCAACTGAGGTGTGACATTTAGCATCATATCGCAATCGTGTGACTACAATGTACCTCTTTGTGGTACATCCCCAAAGTTATATTGTGAGAACAGAAGATGTTATGACACTCGTAATCACGGTGTGATCCATGCAACAACCTGTGATCCCAACACTTTTTTTTTTCCCCACAGTAAGGTAACCACAGTTATCATGTTGCTAAAGTGTGCTATATAGAAGCACTCCTTGGGATAACTTGTGCTTTATAAACTTGGTAGTTCAAGTAAATGGCTAGTTGAGGTGTGACCTCAATCCAGTTATGTTGTACTCATGGGAACTTGTTCCTGAGGTACGTACATATTGTGCCACAGATTGCATCTTGAGTCAGGAGAGGACATGTGAAACCCTGAATGCATTCAAAGTTCTGAACGGTTCGACAACAACTGTAAATAGTGGTCATTATTCAAGTATGTGGACTTCAGAGAACTAGCTAAGCAAGTATTTGCACTTGTCTCCAGAAATTGTCTAATCTCCAATCGCTTCCCTGTTAGTTTGCCTAAATTCATCCATGCACTCGAAGGCCATTTCTCAAAATTGTGAGAGTTGCCTGCTCATCTCAACCCTAGTAGAGACATGAACCCTAAGCTCATGAATCCATTATCACTTTACATCAAGCAAGAAAATTTACTTGCGAAATCCCAAGGGCATCCAATTTTGATTGTTTTATTCCTTGAAAGCATGATGACCTATAAGCACCACCCTTTATATTAAAAGGCTCGTCTTTTTGTTGGCTTTGCATATTTATTAAGAGTTTCCAGGACATAATTTTACAGGCAAGAGATGTGTACTGGCTCACGAACTTATCATAAAAATATTATTTCAGGTAAGAGATGTAAACTGGTTCATGAAGTCATCACAACTATTTTAACTTACTAGTATTTTATAAATAAATCATCACAACTAGCCTAGGATTCCATTTAATGTCGTCCACATAAATTATTACAGCCAGTTAAGTTCATCAATCTTGCCAAGCATAGCTCAAACACATTCACTGTGCTCGAACCATGCTGGAGCACTGCCTCTTACCTCTCAGGCCCCAAAAACCTCAGTACTCTATATTGCTCAAGCTCAACGCAGTTCAGATCATCCACACCCATAAATGTGAGGATCTTATACTGTAGCCACAGATAAGAACAAAGAAACATCGAAGAATAACTACTTGTAAATGCAGCATTAGCAACAAGGATAAAGATTCAGAAAAAATAAAAAATAAAAAAAAAGTTAAAGGAACTACTCTTTCCTTTCCTATATAGATAATACTAAAGAGAGGATAAAATTCACCTGCTGCAATAAGACTAAACTGTATTCATCCTTGTAGTATTGATAGTGTAGTCGGTCCAACTTCATTAAATCACTATATAATTCTAAAACTTCTTCAGAATGGAACATCTTGTACTCATCTGGATTTCTGTTGTTCAACATCATAGCATCATGTGCCGTCAATAATCTTGCAAGTGAAAGCTTTCCAATTTTACTACAATAACAAGAAAGAGACATTAAGAATACATTTGACCAACAACAAAACTACTTTGAGGGTGTTAAGTTACTCGAAAACTTATCAGACTTACCAATCTATCTCGGACAACAATTCACGGAACAGATCAATCTCTTTAGCTATGGTCTCCAAATTCCACTTAGAAGTTGTTGGCTCCTCATCAATTTTTAGCTGATTAAAAGATTTAATTGGGCTTAATTGCTGAAAGTGTGTTTCGTCATGATGAAAATTTTCATCTCTCCAATAAATTATCTCAACACTTTTCCTTTCAGCATGCTTCATGTCGTGAGGCTGTACACACACTGTAAATGTAAAACAAGAAGGTTGTGCACAACGACAACCACTTGAAGAAATGATGCCCTGAGAATGTCCAAGGCTAACTTTTACTGTATAAGATTTTAAAGAATCGGACTTCTCAACAGGAATACTTAGATTTGTTACCCAAGCTTGGGCACTCCGATATGTATTCATTGAAAGTGGTCGCCAAATCAGATCTTTATTTGCATCATATGCAGATTCAACAGTTACTGTGGATGAGTTAACACCTTCAACCGCTTCATTAAAATAAAGAATGAGAGGAAATGTTCCACTACTAGGATGGAAACTTGTGAAAGGAGACAAAGTACAACCATCAAGGCCACTATCTACCAGTACATTAAGATCAGCACCATGAGATGGCCAAGAAGAAACCAACAGGGGAGTGTCCACTTTAACTGTTTGATCAAGAAGCCAAAGATGATAAAACCAACCACTTTGATCATCTGGGTCAGTAAAAATAGCTTGATGTACAAGGTCATATTCATCTGTCAAAACCTTTTCCTTCGGGAAAAATCCTTCAGCCCTTTTTTCCAGTAAATGAGATAAAAGTACACTGCAGAAGCCCCTCAGTAAGGAAAATATTAACAAAAAATAGATGACGAAAGAGATAGGGATGTTGTAAGGCAAAACATGCATTCAAAGAAATAGGTTTGTCCGCAAATGCTGTAAATATCTAAATAATACAATACGAGTTCAACTGAATAAAATAATGCCAAGCACCGTGGAACAGGAAATTTCACTTACAATACACTCCTAGAGCAGACAGAATTCCAAAAAGGTTACATGAAGAATTGTATTATACAATTAACACTAAATTATCCATGGAATGGTATTCATATTGCAGAAACGAGAACATGTAGTCATACTACAAAAGCAACTCAATACCAAATTTAGAGGTTACATCAGTGAACAATTTCATACAGGCTAGATGAGAAATTCCCCATTGTTGACATCCACACACACGTGCCATATTTGAACTCAACTACATACAAGACCATGGTGAAAACAAGGAATACAAACACTAAAAATGACATAATGAAGACGGACCTAGATTGAACATCCATTGTTGCTTATTTGGAATCTATAATTTTAATGACCACAAGAAAGTGGCAAACACCTTGAAGGACTTATCCAATGTTTATAAAAGCACATAAAAGTTGTTGTTCTAACAAACGCAGCAAACCAAGAACAAATCACGAATCACGACAGAAAAGTAAACACGCCACGCACAAAGATTTACACGGCTCGACACAAGTTGTGCCTACAACCACGGTGAAGATCCGGTGAAAGGTTTCCCTATGTGAAAATCAAGATATTACATGTTTCAGCCCCTCGACCCTAGCTCTAGCTCTCACTCTCTTTACCTGCGATTTTCAGTGTCTCTAGTTATCCCACTTCAAACACTACAAGCACTTACATAGTGGGCTACAAGAGAGTACTAAATTGGGTCCATGACCCACAAGTGGAAAAAAAAGGAATCAAAATGCCTTGGGCCCACACAAAGCTCACTTTTCAGGCCAAACAGGTCACAACACGACCCAGTCCGAATTAAAGTTCGGGCCTCAACATCACAGTTACACATATTACCACCCATCCCTCCCGTACCCAACCCTCACCAAGCAACCTAAAAATGCAATTGCAAAAGGTATTCTGTTCATTTACCGGCAAGAATCCCCAATACTTTAAATGTTAAATTGGTTCGACTTTGAGCTTTATATTTCATTAACTGCAATTACACAATAGATAAGATTGTTATCAAAAGTGTGGTAGTCAACCTTGCACCACAAGCAATTAATCCAAATCACTGATTTCCACATATGTTAAAATCTGTAGCATTTTATTACAATTATTTAAAAATATATATATCTGTGTCATCAGTAAGTCCAACAGCACCTCTCTTCCACTGTGAGTTATTTATACCGGTCAGGTCAGATGCCCAATGACGAGCAAATCATTTTTGATACTACTAAGATCATTACAAAGCAGGAATATTGTATTTAATAGATATAGGGTCTCTCACAACTCAACAATGGTGAAAAGGGCATCCCAGTTAGAGGTCAGGTTGTATTGAGTAACAAAATCCAGAAAAAAAATCAGGGCCAGATGCTCTAAGGATTTGCTCCGTACTGTCTATGCTATTACCAAAAAAAGATAAAGAAAGAAAGAAAAATAATATAATAATAGAACATGTGAACATTCTCTAAGAAATACAACATCGTTGAATAATACTTACTAGGCTTGTCCTTTAAAGTTCGAATCCTCGTAAATCAAGAAGCAAAGAAATTTACTAATTTATATCAGTTCTCTAATGTTGTATATGAGAAAGGATGATTTTACTTAATAAGCATAATGCAGCAAGAATTATCACAAACAGTATATCTTGTTAGCACAGTGACACAATGTGAGTCAAAAGTATCACTAAGAAATATTAGCATGTCATTTTTTACCTATTGAGAAGTCACTATACTGCCACAACACAGAAACCCCCTTGATAAAATGATAAATATGCATCCCCAGTTCTCAAAACCCATCCTGGCAGAGCATCATTGGACAAAAAAATCTAAAAAAAAACGTCACAATCTGACAGAAAAGACTAGAATAAGCAAATCAATCACCAACACCGGTCTACCATTGGCTTGGTGGCTTTGGGTCTCAACTCCCAATTCCCATATCAGGGGTTCGAGACTGGTAGAAAGAAGAAAGGAAAAAAATCAATCACCAATGTGATGTTGTGGCCCGAATTTTGTTTCAGCTCGGGCGTTGCAACCCGTTTTGTCTCGAGGAAAATGTTTGACCAGTTTTTTTGCTTGCGGGTCGTGGTTTTCTAGTAATCCAATTTATAAGGGCATTAAGAGATTGGGGGCAGAAACTCCTGATTTTAGCATAGTGAAATCTTTCGCTGGATCTTCACCATGGACGTAGGCAAATCTTGTGTCGAAACACGTAAATCTTTGTGTGTGGCATGTTTACTTTTATGTCGTGATTCTTGTTTTGTTCTTGGTTGTCAGTATTTGACGTAACAACCAACTATGTCATTGCCTTACTAATTGTATTGGACAAACCAAAAAATATTGCAAACTAGTTGCATAGTTCAGATGTATGTTTCACATACACCAGACAAGGAATAGACCAAAAGTGGGGCAGGATATGTTGTTGACAAGGAACATTGCCACCACAGTCAACATGATGCAGAAGCACCAGACAGGAAGTAAATAAAAGATTAGAACAAAACCATGATAAGACCCTGGAGTAAGGGCCAAACTTTCTATCAAGCAGTAGCAGTAGTAGTTGCTATCCTCTCTTGTATGAGGTAAATGGCTTATACGGCTATTTGTATCTACTAAGACAGCATATTTAACTATACTGGAAATAGGGGGATAGCTGAGTATCCTTCTAACTCTTGTTTTAAGGATTTCTAGACATTGTCTGTTCCATCTTACCTCTTTCTCCTACTGTTATATTGGTGCTCTTGGTACCCCTCCCACACGCGGAACATAAGATGCCAATTTTTTCATATTTAAAGACTGTTCTCCAAAATCTCTCACAGTCATCATGACTCCATTAGTCCATTTCCTTCTCTCTACTTGCACCCCCATGGCTTGGACATATTCATAGTACTGTTATAATAACAATATACATCAATTATTTTTCGTTTTATCAATGATATGAGAGGGATATTTTTCCTTGCTAATCACATTCAACTATCCTTAGATGCCAATTTTTTCATACTTAAAGACTGTTCTCCAAAATCTCTCACAGTCATCATGACTCCAATAAATATAATAATAATCATATCAAATGAAAAATGACATAAAAATCAATATTAACATGTTAACAGGCATACCTACGATTATGCCATGCAGAATAATTGCTGAAGTTTGTATTTATCATATCCGTTGTGAATTGCAGTTCTTCTGCTTCTGATCTGTTCTTCAAAGCCGCGACAAATCTGAAAGCACAACCATATGAGACCGCATCAAAATGCAACCTGCAATATCCTATAACTTAACCCAAATTGAATTCTTCACCTCCGGTAATTCCAGGCATGGAAATTCCGGCCATCTCTCTTCTGGAACACTTCCAGAAGCTGCATTTCCCGATCTGCAGATGAGTACCCCTTGCTTAGCACCCATTTTCGATGATGCCAAGCTCCATATGATTTAAAATTCGTTTTTAGTGCACTCTCTGCCTGCACATATATTTAATCTGTGTATCAAATTTCAAAAACAATTATAGCCAAACAAAATATCAGTCAAATTTAGTTTGGCCGCTGAGAATGCTGAGTAAGAGATGGCATAAATTCTGAATCCGTGTGTCAAATTCCTTATTGTTTTAATTTCCAAAAATAGTACAAATTCAAGCATACCCAACTGAACCAAGTAGTTGTCCTATGCTCAATTTACCTTTGAAGTTCTTTTTCTTTATCTACAGTCTCTCAGCAAACAAACAGGACCTACAGAAATTAAGCACTGCAAAAGAGAAATTTTAGAAACTTACGAGACTGAGTTCTTCGTTGAGAATTGATTTGATGGAGTCTGGATCAGTCTCAGTTTCAGATTGATTAAGATTGTGTTCGACTGCGACTTTTCGGTAATTCCAAGCGGTATAGAACTCTGGATTGGCCACGAGAAGCTTCGCACTGATCTCTAGGGCTTCTTTCGTGAAACTGACAATTACAAAATACACACACATATATACACACAAAAGATCAGTGTTTCGATCTCAGAAATTGAACGGAGAAGAAATTTCAAATTGAAACTATATAGAGAGAGAAGTCACATTTTGTTGTGATGATTTTGGAGGAATTGAGATTGCAAGGATCGTAATTTAGCAGCCTTGAGAGCTGAAGCTTTTTCATCTTCTGGCGTAGATGGTTTGCGAGGTTGACCGTGCATTTTTCTTGTTTGTGTGTGAGTGTGTGTGTGTGTGAGAGAGAGAGAGAGAGAGACGCTGTTACATATGGATGCTGGTCAAGGTTACTTGGAGAGGGATATTGGAGCCGGAGTCCATACGCCTATGGCCTCCAGGTTAGAACAGTTACTAAAAATTCGAAATTTTCAAAACAATTTTTCATTACCGAGGTTCCGATTTTTACCCAAAAATACATTGCATGCCTGAGAAATCAATTTTTTAAAAGAATTAATTAATATACAATAAGTCAAAATTTCACGAAAATAAACCCAACGAGAAAAAAGTTAATTATAAATATAAATGGAATTAAGATTCAGCAAGGTCTCATGTTAGATACAGATTAAAAAGTAAATTGGTAAACATGAGTTGTGTGTTAGTCGTATCTAATCATTTTAAATTTTGAATTGGATCGCAAAACACTAGTTGGTATCATAATAAAAACTCAATTCTTAATCTAGTATCACACCAGGCGCCTAGCCGGATCCGGGTGTGCCACCCTGGCATAGTAATTTGAAATAGAGAAAAAATTGCATGATATATTTACAACTTTTGCTTGTCCAGTTGATTTCTGTCGGTGTATAAAATGAGATTTATATTTTGTATATTTATGTGAATAATTATAATAATAATAATATTTGAGTATTTGTTGAATTGGGAGTATTATTCTTATTCTTTTACTGAGCTCATTACATTTTTTTAGTTTATTACATGCAATTGTTTTGTTGTATGTAGTTTGAGCGAATATGAGAAATTATTCCTGTGAGGATTGGAGTAGCAAAGTGAGTGTGCGAGTGATGTGTGTTAATTTCTTGCAACTGACAAAAATAAATAAATAAAATATTTTTTGCTCTTAGCCAAAAGATATTTTTTGTTCTTTCCTTTTAGTAAGATTGTTTATAAGCCTATTCCATTATAATATTATTGTTATATAAAGATTGGACATTATTATAAATGACAAAATAAATAGTTAAAAAATAACAGAATAAAATAAATATTTTATTAATACATGTACAACTATCTTTGAAGTACTTTTTACTTTGAATATTTTTGGATTGGAACTTCACAACCTCAATCAAAATAGGGTTTCATTACAGCTATATGCTCAAAAAGCGTGATCACTTCATTTATAATTTAATTAAAACAAAATTATAGGAAGCTGATAGATCACAGTTAAGAGGATACAACAATACAAAGAAAATGAGCCCCTCAAAGCCAGGATTTGAGAAGTTACAAATGCTAGAAATGAAATAAAATAGAACAAGTTACCATGATGATTTTCAATAATATAATTTAAAAAAAAAAAATGCTAATAATATTATACAAAATCATTCTAAATATATAATAATAAAAAGACAATGCATATAAGTTTTCACAAAATAAATATCTCATCAAAGTTTATAATCAAGTACTCCATTTACCTAACTAGACACTTGAATAAACCCTCAATTGAATCAAAACCCTAAAAGGCACATAGTATCACAAAACTAAAAAATGCTCCTGAAAAGAATTAAGAACCTAATAGACTTAAAGAAATGCAGCAAAATGAGAGTTTATCCACAACCAATCTGAATTACGAGTACAATTTAACAATATGAACCTCATAACAATTGTATTTTGTATAACCCATGCTCCAACATTCTCAATATATGGAAGCACAAGCTGATGCAACAGACAAAAGAGCAGACGTGGTTTTCTAATAGCATAAATTAACTATAAATAATGGCCCAAAACACCCTAATCAAATAGTTAACTTAAAATGCAGAAATCATCTCATTTCCTCATCCCTAGCGTGCGCACGACTCCCGAAGTGAAAATCAATCTGACAAAATCAGTCACCAACTAAGCCCCGTGGCCTTGATTCGAGCCTGCATTTCCGCTGCACGCCATTTGCTTCAAGCCATCCATGGAACTTGGTACTTCTCCCTGGCATGTGGTAAAATTATTTACCATTGAAGGCACCTGCTCAACTGCAGCAACCTTGTTCACCTCCCTGACCAAAGCATTTAAATCATCCCCAGAGAACATTGAGGCGATTCCTATATTGGAAGTATGCAGCTCAGTTTGTTCAGAATTCAAAGCTCTTGATTGCTCGATTTTTGAATCACCATTATCATTAGAAAACAAAGTCCCTTCCGAAGTGGATACTTCTCTCTCCTTTCCATCAAAGTTTGATGTCTCATCTTGGGAATTCATCATCTCTATCGTGGCCAGAAGTCCAGAAACTGCTGCTTGGCCCCCTGATGTCCCAATCTGATCCACTTCTGCTACAGCATGTCTCTTCTTATTGGGTTTCCTTTTGAAACGACCTTTCTTTGGTTTGAGAGCTGCTGCAGTTTCCTGATTAATACTCACATCCGCTGATTTCTTTTTGCATGGAATAACTGTGTAGCGAGTGTTGCCAGCATCTTTCTCATCTGATGTAGACGCACTAGACTGGATAGCTAATAGAGCAGTTCTAGCAGCTTTGATCTCTGCTTCTTTCTTTGTTCTTGCAGCAGCTCCGATGTACTTCAAACCCCCAATCTCCACGGTACAAGAAAAAAGAGGCACCTTGCCTGGTTTTTCTTCCTTCCGACACGTGTATGATGGAATTGCATAATTCATCTTCTGTGCATATTCTTGAAGTAAATTTTTGCATAAGCCTGTTTCCTGCTGCAAAACAAACCCATAAACCAGTGTCAGATACAGTACTTGAAAGACTCTTCTAGCATACCAAAGGCTACAAGCTGAAACAAAATGCAAAAGAGGGGGGGAATCAGAGAACCATCAAGAGTGACATGCCCTACTAATTTAACTAACCGACTTAAAATACCACGTTAAATAAGCACTTTGCAATAAGTGCATAGCATTTGTTAAATAGGAACCAAAATCAGCAGGGAGGGATAAAAATGCACGACTATGATGGCAGCAACCAAACAATATTATGGTAATGGCAAAGCATGTACGTAGAGCTAATTTTCCAGAAAAATGAATTCAGGAAAAAAAAAAAAAAAACTTTATTTTATTTTATTTTTTTATTTCAGATATTGTAAAGTTTGTTTGCAAGATGTTCAGCTCATTGCCTAGGTCTATGTCTCCACAGTGGTAATTATGGCTGTGCATATGAATCTCACCAAATGTGCTGCTGGCATTATTCAATAAAAAATATGAACTGAAACAAGGGAAGGGAACTAAAATTTTTATCTGCCCAAGTAGGCACAAGACTTTGCAGTTCAGTCATAGATGCATCATGAGACGGTTCTATCAACCACATTCAACATTTTAGTTTGTGCATGAAGGTGTGGGTGTGGGCACATGTGATCCGGGAGAAAAACAGGCAATGCTATGCAACACAAACAGATATCAAGGTGACAATGACTTTAAAGTGGATGCAACATCACAACTACCATTTTCCAACCATAGCCTGTCATTTGTTCCATTTTCATCTCTGGTAGCTGTAAGCATCTTTCGTCACAAGGATCACATTACCCACATCATTTGTGTCTACTTCAAAAGTTCAACTCATTACTATCAATTCACCACCATTCGCAAGTACAACTTCAAAAAATTGCTAGGATTTGTTCCATATCACACTGATTTCTTCGAAACAAATGTGGTTTAGTAATTATATCTCCCTAGAAAATTTGGGCAATGGGCCACCAGACTTTGAAAATCCAGTATTCGATATTAAGAGTAAACCGATTTACAGAACAGTTGACAATAGAGCAGTGATGGGATAGCATGCTAGAATATGAAGATATCATAGCATGTAAAGCAAGCATTGCATCATATGCTTGAAGTTTTTGGCAGTAATGGATTGTAGGAAACTTTGTAGTTAAGGGAAGAGGACCCTGATTTCACCTCAATATTACAATTCAAAGATCACCAACATATATTCCAAATACATACATAATTCAAGGCAAAAAGAGCAACATACATTTTCTTCAAACAAGCATTACTAATTTCCATTTGTAATTCACTAGACCCATACATATCATGATTATCTGTGATAACTAATAACTTTCTCTTAGTTCTTGAAATCATTAGTATTATTGACAATCTAACAAGATTTATCAGCAAAAAGAGTGGTCTTGGGCTTTTATGACTTCGATTAAGTTTAAAACAAGTAATATCCATCACCTGTTTGTAACTGTTGAAGGATTTAAATATTAAAGTTGCACCCTCTCTAATAGCTTAAGCTTTTGGAGTAGATGATTGTTAACATGGTATCAAAGCCAAAAGGTCTTGAGTTCAAACCTTACCGCCACCCTGATTATTAAAATTGAAACACGTGTTGGACCAAAAGAGAGCCACACGCGAGGGGGCATGTTGAAGGATTTAATTATTAAAAGTTATACCCTCTCTAATAGCTTAAGCTTTTGGAGTAGATGGTTGTTAACAGTAACTATAAATCTCCACAACTATGCACAAAGGAGCCAGAGATTTTAAAAGGCTTTGAAATAAAGAGAGAAACAAAAACTGCTTCAGCAAAGTATCCGGTAATGGTGGAAGGTAAGGCTCTGTTGGCTGTCGCAGTCTTGCAGGTGTTGGTGCTAGTTGTGATGGTTGGGTCTCGGTTGGTTGGTTGGTTGGGAGAGAAAAGCTGATGGGCATGGGTTGTGTAAGGGTTTCGGTTGTTTGGGTTTGGGTTCCAGCGACGGTGGATTTCTGTTGAAGTGGATGCAGCGGTGGGGGTGGTTCTGGGTTTTCCGACAGTGGGATTTGGTGGTTTGGTCAGGTATGTTGGGTTGGGCAGAAAGGTAACAAAAATATGCTTGGATAGATGACTTTGCATCTTTTGCTCTAATGCCAACTAATGTAGGACAAGAAAGAAAGAAGGTGATGAGCATAAGAAGATGATGACCCTAGAAGAAATGAGGGAAAAGGATATAAGAAGAGGGTGAGAAAATTGAGACTGAGGGGTTAAGAAGAGTAAGAATGATGGAAGAAGATCAGAGAGTAATTTTTGAAAGCTCGATGATCCCAATAATCAAGTTCTGAATTGTTTGGTTACATGCCTTTATATAGGAAAAATCATAAGCAAACCCTAAAATATGAAAATACAACTACAACAATGCCTCTAAAACATTACTGAAATAATAATAAAAATATATTTAGCCCTAATTACATCAAATCCCTAATTTTATCTTTATTTGCTCATCTCCAATAGTCAAGACAAATTACGTGCAGATACGTTTTGAGTCATATTTCGTTCTCTATGAGGAGAAACTCACAACGAGAGTGGCAAAAGTTTAATCTTTTCATATTTTAAGTTTTGGCTGCCTGGGAGATATTTGATTGGAGGAGGGAATAGTGGTTGCCAAGACAGCAAAATTGGGAATGCCCAGCAATTAACACTCCACAAACAATTCGTAAGCACCATAAAATCCTCAACATGGACACAGGCAATTAACACCTAAGCACCACAACAACTAAAAAAGGCTAGCCCAGTGCACGAGGCTCCCACCATGGCAGGGCCTAGGGAGAGTCAGATGTGCCAAAGCACCGCAATAACTATAAACTTAAAATAAAAACCCTTAAATTAACCATTCTAATTATGAATCAAACATCTGTTAGTTTCAGCCTGTTACGATTTGTAGTTTGAAACTCCTTTGCAACAATGAAAGGATTGCTTTCTTAAGATTTCTTCATCCTAAGTTAATCCACTCAGCAAATCCTTTGAAATTGGCACGTCTAGGCATTTGACCCTAGGCAAATTCTTGTGGAAGCTCACGGACTTTGACACTCTTTTAATGACTGAAAGGATGATTGACTCCAATGAGAAACAGATTGGATAATGGTCGTGGTTCTATCTCCAGGGTTAGTATGTGCTGCATGCATATGCTTTTATTTTTTTGTAACTATTATTAAAAATTTAAAAATCAGACAAATAAAAAAAAAAAATTCCATAAAGGAGGGGGAAAATGAGGTTTATGAAATCACCAAAGAGAAGTAGAAAATTTCAACGCACGAGATATAATATCATAATAGCTAATAAAACACATAAAACCCACAAGTCTTCTCTTACATTGCCCATTGGCTAGAGATGTCTGGGTTATGTTCTTTTTATATTTGGAGTACATTAGATTGTAATGGAGTCTACGACCATAATTCTAACATATGGAAGGGGTGTACGGTGAGAGGCCAAGCTTGAGAAGGTTCGAAGACCAGAACCCTATGTATTTGCTGGGGGTTTGGCGTGAAAGAAATGGGTCTTTTGAGGGTGTTGAGGCGCTGACATGGGTACTAAAGAATCATATTTTGAGCTTGCTCTTTTTGGATTACAGGGAGATCTTGTATATCTTTGGAGGATTTTATTAATTTTTTCGATAGTTTCAGATTGTAGAGATACAGAGATGTTTTCTTTGTACAGTTGTTACTTGGGTTCACTCCCCTTTGAGCGGATTTGAAATGACAATTTACTATAATATATATATATATATATATATATCAAAAGGGAAATTAAAAATGCATGGAGCAACAATAAATGGAACTTTCCAACATAATTTAATAAGAATACCACTGGCTGAGAAATGGATTCACTCATGTTGCCAGAGTTAGCTAACTCCAGAAGAGCAACTTCAGCAGCTGACTGTTCCGCTGCCTTACGATTGAAAAATCCAGGCAGAGAATCATATCTAACATCGTTTACAATCACAGTTGACCTAAAGGAAGGCTCGTGTGAAGGGCCTTCCTTAATAGTATCATAGACAGGTGTTGAAAGTCCTACTTTCTGAGCATACTCCTGTAACTGACTCTTGAATACATAGCAATTTGAGACACCTGCAAAGTGAAAATGAAAAACGTGAAAATGAATCACTATAAATGGTTTTATATCAAAACAAACACAAATATCGTGAAAGATATACCAAGTTAATAGATGTCTCTGACTCTATGTTGATCAATACTAATATACTAAGTATTCGTATAAAAAATTAAACATGGGTGCAATTCATTTAAAAACAGTTTTCATGACTTCAATTTCAGAACAACCAAAGAGGGCATTGGCAGCGGCACATTTCGCTCTCTTTCTCTCTCCAATCTCCACCCCTGGGTGTCTCTCTCCCCCCTCCAATCTCCTCCTTTCCCAAACTGCGAGCTATTGTATCTTTCTTGGAAGTTTGGGCTCCAATATCACTCTCTCAACAGTCACACAATATGTATCACCAAATCATCAGATAAGCATTTTTCCGTGCTGTGATATTAAAAGCCAAATTTTAACTACTTCACCGCATCATATTGTCAAATAGAGCAAGATAACCACGTGGAAGTCATTTTTTTAGGTAATTCTTAGAGTAGATTGCCAATGTACTTCCATCAAATTCTCCATTCACTAAAATAAATTTGGCCATCAGATCATTCTTTCATGACTTAACTGTCATACTGATCCTTATAGAGAAATTTATTTTGACCTACAAACACAGAACTCAAGTAAAAATCTCTCGGTTTTCAGAATAATTTAATGAACTAGGGCCGACTTGTACAAAGCAAATTTCAGTTGCTCTCCGCAATTAGGGAACACAAGTCTATACATTGCTTATAATTTCCCAAAACACAATCAAAAGGCATGATTTTCCAATAAGTTAAAAAGTGTAACATCAACATTGGAATCCAAATCCCGTTCGATTGAAACATGGTTTTAATTCCATCCAAAGAAAGAAAAAAATAAACCAAGCCAGGGGCTGCTGTCTATGCTCAAGTCAAATGAGACTCATCTTGTAGTGGGATTAAGAGGCTACAAATCCCTATTAAGTTTCTCTCTTCTTCTTTTTTTCCATTTCTAATTGGAAGAATTATCGTTTTTCTACTCTTTTTTGCTTGCAGCCTTCTCAAAATTTAACAAAATACCAGGAATTAAACATTTGACGAAGAACAACTGGCAAAAAATAAGCGTTCAGAGAATCAACACTACTATGCTGATGTCTGAAATTTTCAATATTGAAGTCCATAATTCATTTTTCTGCCTATACACAAACACGCACATATATATAAGGGTTATATATGAGTATCCAAATATAAAAGAAATATCCATGACAGTTAAAATCTTCGTTTTTAAATAGAAGTATCAACCTTAATTTCATAATCCATGTATTTATTGACCTACAATCACCAATTTTTTCATAAATTAACAACGAGTTGGTGTATCTAGTTTCTAACAGAAAATCACGAATAATGTAAGACCAAAATTCCTTAAAAAGGAGAAAATTTAATAATCGAAGCTTAAATTTTTTTATGTGTCATTTTTTGTGGACCGTGCACATATCCACAATAATATGAAATATTCTTTGCAAAACCCCAATAACATATAATAGGTTATGTATGTGTGCGTGCGCGCGCGCACACACACACATATATATATATAGATAGAGAAAGAGAGAGAGACCTTGGGAACCATCGTTGGTTGACATGTCTTCGACGGTTTTTCGATGAAGATTAGGCACAGAATAAGGTCTGATACGATGATGGTTCTTCGTTTTTCAGTTCTCGAATCACACTGAATGAGTTGCTTGGTACCATGATGGGCTCGATACTCATCTGGTACTCACCAGCATGAAAATCCATAGAGTCGAGGATCCGGATCCGCAGATTCCATCGATTTAAGTTTTTTGCATAATTTACGATGACACCCTGAAGTTTGCCATAATAACAATCATGTACGATTTGCCCTTCAATATTTTAATTCTCCACTGGTAGAATTTTAAGAATATTGAAAGACCAATTTACCCTTCAGTGTTGGACCAATAGCAAAGGGGATAGCTTTCAAGCAAATGCGGGGAATGGAACTGGTATTTATTCTCTTCTTACTTGATTATGTTAAATAAATGTAATTTGTATATGTATTTATTTGACAGACAAATTCATAATTCTTCAAGCTTTTGTGGCTAGAATGGCCTATTTTAGCTTCCCTTATTTGGTTAATCTCCCCCTCTATGGAACACAAAAGGGGTTATCTATTGTATATTATTGCACATGGTACTTTCAGAGCCATTATACTATTGATATAGACATTTTTATTTTTTTATTTTAAGCAAATTGTATTAAAATGAAAAAAGATACCAAAAAAAAAGCCTTCGGACAAAACAGCCCCCAAAAGGGCAGACAAAGCCCATAGGCAACCCAACCCGAAGCTACCAAGAGCCAACCCAAAAGCTACCCAAAGAGCAACAATAACTTAAATTAGCAGTTGTAGCCTACTTGGAAGTTCTTAAGAACAGATCCGGTGAGCAAACCCTACGGCGACGGATAGATAATCTCCAACTCTTAGTCCGGTGGTCTCGAAGGCGGTCTGCAACAAGAGGGAGAGAGATTCTAGTTACTCAAAATCGATCTAGAAGCCGTGCAATCCTTTAGACAACCCAGACGGAGGAATGAAGTGATTGAATTACAGACTTTTGGTAGAACCCTGCTCTGCGAGATGGATTCCCTCTGAAAATGCGACTGTTCCTTTCTTCCCAGGTGTGATACACTAGTGCTGATAGACAAAATTTCCTAAAGATGTTGATTAGAGAGCTAGACCTCCATCGAACACTGATCCGCATAATCATTTCTTCCCAACTGTGAAAATATTTGTAGAATCTGCATCTATCTTGGATAAACTTCCAAAGAGGGGATGAAAAGGTACACCTAAAGAAGAGGTGAGAGTGGGATTCATTTTTGACACTATAAAGGGCATAAATGTTATCATGGTGATCCATAGCTCTATAATTAAGGGTGGGGAACCTGCATTGAACAGCCAACCACATGTTAAATTTCATTCTTGGGATGGTTGTTGTATGTCACACAAGGTTATGCCAAGGAACTAAAGATCTATGCTGTGAGAGGTGGAAAATTGTGTGCTTTAAGCTAAAAGAATCAAAAGGGGACACAGTCTAAATCAACTTGTCCTTCCTGAATGGAACATGTTGTTGAAGAGAGAGTAGCTCTGGGATTACAGAGAGTAATGCGGGTGGGAAGCTCTAAGAATTGTTGACAATGAAGTTAGACACTTTTGTATTTTCATCAATGCCAAAGAAGGAGATGAGGGTTATGTTTACTAGTATAGACATAACTTTGCATACCCAATTCCTTTATAAACACTAACATTGGCTACACCATGCCCTTTAAGGTCACACAGCCTTATACAAACCACAATTTTCCTCTAATGTCTGTGTAATAAATCCTCACTTCTTCTTGACCAGGATAAGTTCACCAATTGGTGGTTTTTGAGTACTTGTATCAAGATAAGTTCTTTACCTAATTATGGAATTGCTAATTTGGAAATATAATAAAAATTGACGATCATTACAATTTTTGTTCAATTTTGGCTAATTGGGGGGTATTGTAGGTTCTTTACCTATTTTTGTTCAATCTTTGTACATTTTTATTTGGTGAAGCTGGGCATGCAATTTTTCTGGAACATTAGGTACTATATTTGTTAGGAAACCTGTTGGGATTTATATGCCCTGGCATAGCAAATTCTTATTTGGATTATAGTGGCATATGTTCCTGATATATCTGAAATATTTATAATTTATATAATTGGTGAATTCAATGTATTATGTTTCGATTCATTATGGAATTGATAGTGTCCACTTGATTACAAGAGATATTTATATATGTATGTGATGGCAATCGATACATAAATATAAATAGTAATCATAAATTGTTCATAGTCAGTAATTATGGATGGACATTTAATTAACTAAGACTTGAACCGAGTTCATGATAGGTTGAGATATATTGCGAAAGCCGTCGTATGCAATTGCTCTCTATCACAGTCATAACTTTTGACTCTTAAATATAAGAGAAGTATAGACTCTTTTATTAATTAATAATTACTTTGATTTATTCGGCGGATACTTCGGAATCCTTAAACCGACACTTTGGGTTGTTATGTAATTAATAGTTAGAATGTTATATTCTCAATATTTGTATCAATACTACTTATATTTATTTTGTATTGGTTATAGTTGATCACTAATTAAATTTGAAGGCCTTCGTATGTTTTAGACAAAATGTTTTCTATATATTTATTTAGTAAATTATTACTTTTTGTTAAATAAACTTTTTATTGTGATCAAGTCAGAAATAATCAAAAGTAACAAAATAATTATATTAATTATTTTGTTGTATTGATGGCTTTATAATCCGATAAATAATTATGCATAGAGGGGTCAAAGTGCAACATTGATTTAGAAGTTATTTACTATTTAATTAGAATGCAATTAATTTCTTTTAGTAGAGTAGAAATTAATTTATGAATTAATTGAATTGAGTTCATAGTTTAATGGATCAGACCAATTATTAATTTATAATAGCCAAGAAAATAGTGAGCCCAAAGGATTCTCACCCATAACCCAAGTTGATATTGGAGTCATATTATAATTGAGATATGTGAATTAGAGATTGAGAATGATTTATTATTTCTTTTCCTTATCTTTATGTTGCTTATATATACATGGGTCCATGTATATTTTAAGGGAGACTTTTGGAAGAAAAGAAATAATATATTTTCTCTCTCTAGTTTTTTAAGGTTTGCTTTCTTTTCTAAAGAAGGCCACCACAAGCCTTGCATCCAAGGTCATTCATCGAGGTATATTGGTGATTCCTAAAGGGGAGATTACTATCAAAAAGAAGGAGAAAAGATCTTGCTAAGGGATCTACAATAAGTGAGAACATTCACTTTAGATGAAAGATTTAAAAGTTTACTCAAACCTTTGATGTAAGTATTCAATCTATTAATTGAATGATACATCATATTTTATTTTTGCATAAAATTTGTCTATACGCGATGAATTAAGATCTATGTATCAAAATCCCTCAAAAAGTTTTTAAAACTTTCACGTTTCCTAACAGTGGTATCAGAGCATGGTTTGATTCATTACTAGAGATCATGTTTTTATGAAAATCATTATTCATGGATCCAAATTATATATGCATATATATATATATATTTATTGATGTATGTTGATATATATTGATACAAGATGATATGTATGTATAATTGTGAATGAATGATGATTTATTTTTGGGTCATGGATGAAGCTTATAGGTTTAACGTAATTTTATTTTTGGATAAATGTAATTAAGGCTTTGATTTAGCCATTAGAAAATTCAATGATCTAATTTAATTATTTTTTCATTATATTTCATATGTATAATTAATTTCAGAGCCATTTAATCTTTATCAATGGGTACTATGAAGCTTCAAGAAGGTCTAAGAGTATTAAATAAGGTCCCTGGAATTTTTTGGAATTTTTTTGGATTTTTCTAGATTTTTTCCAGAATTTTTAGGGTTTTATTTAATTTTTTCCGAATTTTCTGTAAATTCTGGTAACCGGAGATTCACCGGCTGCAAGGACAGCCCCGGAGGAAGGCTTGAGATCCGGTACATCATAGTAACGTGCGCTCAGATCCAGGACCATAGGATTGACCCTCAACTGAAGGGAATAATCCCATGCGGCACAACATGGTACACTCAGCGCACCAAAAGGACAGGCGCATGGGAACACGCGCTGCACTTTACTAACGCGCCTTCTAAGCACGTACCTGTACGTGGAGGCGCTTGCCACGCGCTGCCGTGCCCCCTAAGCGCCTGCCAGCGCATGCAGGGTCTTCCGGGCGCGTTCCAAGCGCTAGTTTGCTTCTCCAGACACGTACCAGCTCCCTACAGGTGTTAACAAGCCGTTAGTGGACGCCCGTACAACAAAAATAGTATTTAAATGTTAAAAGCTGATTCCATTGGCCATTTTATTTGCTTTTGTCTGTTATTTAATTATTTATGTGGTGCATGGAATAATTAATTGCTGATTATTATTGTTCATGCATTGGATCCATAATTTTTATCTAAATGACTTGATTTATAGTAATTAAATTATGAAAATTAATTGGGTTTGATTACTAATTAATTAGAGGGCACTTATTGGAAAACGAAAAAAAAAATTTGTAAATTATTTTTAAAGTGTGCCTCAAATTAAATATTAGTAAATCATTTAAAAGTTCAGATATTTTCTAAATTTAATTGGATTAAATTAAGGCGTTTTGCATGCATTATATCATGAATAGAAAATCCTAATTATAAATAATTAAAAATTGAGTGGGAGTGGGGATTTTTATACATTATCCCACGGCCTTCGTTATTATAACCATTGTAATTAGATATTCAAAAATAAGGCACCACACATGATTTGAAGAGTCTAAAAATTACAAGAATGGTTGTCTCATGAAAATAAAAATATTAAATGTTTATTGTAATTAGATCTTTAAAAATAAGGCCCTACGCATGATTTAAAAAGTCTAAATTATAATGACAAGATATTTAATATTTTATTTTTCGTTGGAGCATTAATAACGTTATACACTCAATCTAAAATCAATAGTGTTAGCTCTCCAACGGAGTGGTCTACACTAAGTGATTTTAGAAAGGCTGAACAAAATCGAGAATCATTTCATATATATAGACAAGGAATTGCCTTAAGAGATATTGAAATGATGGAATTTGCCCGCCAATAGCAATAATGAACTTCGCCAACCGAATAAGTTATTGGTGTATTGGTTATCCAATTTTTCATGCGCAATGGTTAAGAGACCCACAT